GTTCTCAAAGGCGTAGTCACTCAATCCGGCATTAGGGTTTAACTAGGTCTAGATCACTCTATAAATGTCTCCTTAACAAGCAATAACATTTGAGTTGTCTTTAGAGGGGGTCTATATGGTTTAAATGGATGTGTACAGAATACAAATACTCTGAGATCAATGTCAACCTTTACGTCTGTACAGATAAAAATGTTGAATAAATGTTGTAACGGCGTAACCGACAAAGACAATGCAGGAAATGTACAATTTGTGAACTATGTACAAACATGGTGTCTTCACATTGCTAAGAATAAGCCTGTAGTCATATCCTGTACACAATATACACAAGACGCTGTTCTGAAAGAATTTGAATGCTGTTGTCTTTCTTCACCCCATCTGGCTAGAGCCTCCCAACCACCATTTATAAAACGCTGGGCTAATGTGAAGTACAATAAAACAGCATCTGGTACGAGAACCGGAGGGCCGTCAGAGAGACAGAAAGAGTCCATGTGGTCTGGAAATATCTGGTGGAAGTTCCGTTTTGAATTCCTTTTATTGTCTGGACTGCATCATCAAGCATGCAGGGCTATTTCAAGGCTTTCCTAATTTGTTTTTCATTGTTGGCGAGACATCTGACTGTAAAATCAGTGTCGAGTCAGTAGAAGGGGATTGTGGGTAAGGCTGAGGAATGGCACTCAGGTTGATAAAGGGTTTCTGATTTCTCTCAATCCTCCATCATCTTCCTCCTCCTCATCTTTGTCTTCATCAGGGGTGGATTTTGGAGAGGTTGTGCTTTGTGGCAGTCTTGGAGCCGTGGGTCACCCTAAGCCAGAAGCATTCCAGTGTTACACTGTCTGTAAAGAAAGAGAAAAAGAGATTTGTTTAAAAATTGAAATATGATATAACGTATTCATTAAAGGGGTCATATGATGCAATTTCAATTTTTACTTTCTCTTTGGAGTGTTACAAGCTCTTGGTGCATAAAGAAGATCTGTAAAGTTGCAAAGACTAAAGTCTCAAATCCAAAGAGATATTCTTTACAAAAGTTAAGTTAACCACGCCTACTTAAAACGGCTCGTTCTAACACGCCCCCACATATCTACCGCACTATGTGGGAAGATTTGCATAATGCCGCCCAAATGTTCACGCAAAGAAAGGCGGTGTAACTTGTGAAAGTCATTGTGAAAGCGAAACTACTTTGTTTGGTCTTCCAAAAGAGGCCGATATCCGTCCATACATTGCTGGCCAATCACAGCACACCTCGCTTTTCAGACCGATGAGCTTTGTAAAAATTGACACGTTTCAAAAAGGCGGGGCATAGAGGAGAAACAATTATGTACCAGTATGGTAAAAATTTTTTTTTTTTTTACTTTAAACTGCATAAACACAAATTTCATTACACCAAATACACAAAATATTGTTATTTTTAGCAGCATCATATGACCCCTTTAAACAAAAAAACACTTCATTTTAGTCAATTAAAACAGACATCTTACTCAGAAAAAAAAATCATAATAATTGTTTTAAATAGTTTCCAGGCCGTGAAACTAGTTAACAAATAGTGCTGAGAAATTAATTTATTGAATTTGATTCATTTATTGGATCAGTTTAAGATGATTGATTTTAAGCTAAACAATTATTAACCTTTTCCTCATTTTAATTAATTCATAAATCCATTCATGATTTTTTTAAAGTTACAAATAATAATAAATATAGTTAAATATCACAGATTGATTGCGTCAAATATTGAGTTATGCCGTTAAACTGACCTCACAGCTACTACCTTGAAAGTTGAGTGATTTGAGTGAGTGAGAATGTATTCAATAAAATCATTAAAAAGAACTGGTTAAAAAATGTGTTCATAGACATCACTACTAATAAATGATGCATGCTCAGCATACAGTACAAAATGTTTTATACACTACTTAGATTTATTATTGTAAATTGTAATTTATTATTGGTGAACAAATGCGCACATTGGGATAACTAAATTAGGAAGAGTCTTTTATATTCCAGGCCCAGTGAAGAGCACTTCTCTTGAGATTTAAACAAAGAAAGTCTCCTTGTGCGTCAGGGGTGAGCGAGTTTCCCAGGAGTGACATGAGCTGGACCCTTTATCGCCTGTGTGTTTAGCGAGGCTTTGACCATGACCCGGAACAACTCCATAAACAAACAGCCCGTCACACTCATTACTCGCTCCAACAGAGTAATTGACACATCAAGAAACCAATCATAAAGGAGTCCTGTCCCGCCCTTTCACGCTTGTGTGGCCAATGAAATCAATAACCTGGACCAGCAGACGAGGATAAAAAAACTAGCACACCAGAAAATCAGATGGCATTTCAACACAAATGCAATACAGATCTGGTTTAGTGTGTCAAAATATGTACAAAATATAAGCTTGTTCTGTTCCCAACATGCGAGAAAAGTGCAACCCAGCATGTGATTTGAAGAACCGGTTGTGTAATGCTCAGAGTACATACTCTCCTGCACAAACAGGGTTGCGTAATGTACATGTAGACGGTGTACCCTTCTCGGTGCAGGTGACCTATCTGTGTTTGCTCCCACACACACACACACACACACTGTATAAAGAGACCAATTCGTGTGCAATGCCAGAATTGCACACATGGATTGGGGTACGATATTGAAAGATGGACAAGGTGTTCCTTGTACATCCAAGGGATAAGACTGAGACTATGGCACTCATAAACAAACAAGCTGTTCCTTCTGTATTTTCGAGTTGAGCGTGTGGGATTGGAGGTGGGGCGGCACTCTATTTCTGGTTCCACTCAGTCTCTTCCCTGTTCGCGCTCTCTTTCTTGTTCTATCTGTTCTCTCCAGAGAGGTAGAGAGGTATGGGAGAGGTAGAGGCAGTAAAAGTGTCACCGTGTAATGAATGGGCCCCTGATGGAGGGAGAGAAAGAGAGTTGGTGGGGGGGGGGGGGGGGGGGGGTGCTCTTGATGAGTCTCAAGAGGCTCTTCTGAAGTGGCACTAAACCATTTGTGTATGTGTGGGAACTGGTGGGACCGCCCCGATCCTGGATAGCGGGAGATAAAGTGGGAACACAGATGTAGTGTTTCTGGGCCAGCCAGGTGTCACATACTGTATTGTTTGCAAATGGCTGAACATAGATAGGAAAGCTTCCAATTTCCAGTCTCAACAAGGGTACCGCTCGGCAAGGTCTTATCTAGGGGGCACGGGAACTAGAGGGATTCTTGTAGCACACATCCACGATGTCTGATATTATGTTTAGTGCCTAGCGCTGAAGCACATTTTAAACAGATAAAGGTGCCGGCTTATCCCTACCACAAGGAAGAAGTCTGATCAGAGCATCTATCCGCAGATCTACTGGGAGATGCACTTCATCTTTGCGTTGATTTCCATCTCTTACCAACCTCTCGACTATCTATGACCTATAGAGGTGACAATAGAAAGCTTTGGGAGAATCTCAACTCTTCATCGTAGCCACATAGAGCAACTTGGCCAAGATTGACAATCGTCTGACCTACAAAAAGGGCACAAAAGATTTTTAAATGTGTCTTAAATGCACCCAGAACAAACAATACCCAATAATAACATGCACTAAATGATGTTGACAGTGTGCCACAGGTGACCGGGCATCTGAGCTTTCCGCCTCGAGGTCTTCTGGAAAACTGTTGGCTCTGTGTTGGCTTGCATCCTCTGCTCAAGCCTCTCTACCTTCGGGGAAGTCTGGGTGGCCATCATTTGGGTTTTATGACCCTTTTCTGCCTCCCCAGCAGGAGGAGCAAATGCTCAGCTGGGTCTAGACAGACGCTGGTGATATTGCTTTCCTCAAGGCATAGATTTGCATATAATAAAAACAACAGCTTTGCCAGTTGTGCCAAGTTTGGCCCTAATGATGTCTTGGAAATACTAGTTGTTATCCAGATTCGCAAGAGTTTATTAGCCAAATATGCAACTAGACTACAGAGTTAAGCTATTTGGGAACTAGTCATTGGTTGGGAATCTAGATAATAGTTGATTGAGAGTGTTCAGATCAGATCAGGTCAGCAGTATCTAAAAAGGTAGTCAGGCTAAGACAGACAGGCAAGTAGAGGTCAATCCCAAAAAGATCTTATCCTACAACTCAGGGATCAAGAAGACCCCTTCAAAGTAAAATCCAAGCTTTCTTTTCCCAAATCCCAGAGAGACGCTGTGCAAAAACCTGCAAAAATGATCTCAACTGCTTCTATAACCATGCATGTCCTGCCAAGAAGGCCTTTGTGTCTGAGGTACTGGAAGATTCATGAGTGGATGTTTTTCTCGTTTCTTCAACGGAGCCTTATTGATCATTGTATTTGGAATCATTTGATAGTTAATCAATGTTTTTTTTCTTTCAGCACACTGGGCAAGTGCGCCGTTTTTCAAAGGCCGGCCTTGATCCTGGAAACTAAAATTTATACACACCAACTCACCTTGTTCACACAAATCTAGCTTGAATCATAGTTATATTTCACAGCAACATACAACTACCAAAAAAAGCAGCTTTTTAAACATGACAGTAATTTAATTCGGATACGTACCATGACAAATCTTTTTTCCCCTGCATTTACCTTAGTATTACAATTCATTCAACTTCTGGGTGTTATAACAATGTTATATATCATAACCTACTTTGGTCCTTTTTATCTGCTTTCCTCTCTGTGTCTAGCTTGAAATAGCTGTCTGGTTGTGGTATGTACCATCTAAAACAGCAAGAACACAAATACACCCGGATTTCCGAGGTAAACTGTAATCTAAAGAACTTCAGAGTTACTGATATGCTGATAAGCATTACATGGTCCTGTCCAGGACAGGCCAGTGTAGTGATGCAAGACAAAAGGTGACTTTCAGAGGTAAACGGATCTCCCATTGACCCCCAGTATATGTCTGCATCACTTCCTGTATGTACAGCCCCGGCTGTAACCAAAAGCCTTTCCCTGAACACTCACAATATATCCGCTTAATCTACCCCCATTTACAACGACACTCTCAATCTGTATCACTCTCCCGCTCCCTCTGCCTGTTTAAATAGGGGAAGAGAGGCATTATGACATCATGTCCTGTAACAAAGCCATCATTGCAGCTGATCGTCTGCTGCTGCATGCCTGTTCTCTGACCTGTACCGACACGTCCGGTTCCCGCTCCAGGATGGGCGGCACATCTGTGAGAAGCGCAGACAGGCTGGAGAGCTGTACCACGTGCCAGGTGTTTAATATCAGCACTGCGTGGTGCAATTACCCCGCAGAAATTAGCTTTTAATTCCGTTTTATTGGCCCAATATTGCTTCTGGTGTTTAGGTTTTTAAACATTATAATTAGTTTTGAAAAGATTGGTCGACCTCATTCTATTCCACAATACCCCATGGCTTTAAACAATGTTCAGCGGTGGCATGGATGCAGGTTTCTGGAAATGCCTGGGTTGCGGTGAAATACGATTTTAATAGCGCAGGAGAGCTTTGAGACCGCTGGCTAGAGACGCACTTATTGGTGAATATGCTGCTAAAAATATAAAAAGAATATGATTTTAGTGTTTCGGAAACAATTTCGGTAACCTATTTATGCAAAACAAACAGGAAGTAGAGGGAAAAATGCATGGAACGGACCATTTTACTACACAAAATGTGCTTATGCCATAAAATTGTCGATGGCAGGGCTTTTCAAACTTTTGAATGCAGAAGACCCAAATTCAGACCTATTTATACTGTAATTAATTGTTCTGTTATTAACATATTACATGAAAAATGTTTAGATATACATACACACACACACACTGTAGCCTGTTTAAGACACATCCAAGCATAGTAAAATTGAAATGAAATGAATATTGGCTGCAGGAGAACAATTGCAT